TGCCTTACACCAAACATGCAATGCAAATTTAAAAAAAAATATCTAAAAATCATTAAGATTGGCTCTTGGCAAGAGCCAAAACCCAAGCAACCCCCTGAGAAGATATTCAGCCCTCCCCTTGCCCCTTGAGCAGATATGCCCAGTGCTTGCAGGCACCGGGGACCATACTGACCCATACTTGGAGTCCCGCACAGGACAGCTCTGCGTGGGACTCCTCGCACGCTGCTGCAGGCTCTGGACCAGCCCCTGTAAGCCTACAAGGCGTGATGGAGCAGCCCAGGCACTGTTCCCACCCTGCAAATAAACGACCCTGGGGCTCAGGCACGGTTCCCACCTTGCATGGCCCAAGGGCTCTGGAGCAGAGCAGGCTTCTGCAGGAAAAAAAATAAGAGGGGGGAACTTACAGGTGTCTGTGGCTCCTTTCACACGTGGTGCCCAGGCACCCTCCCCATCCACCTGTGGGAGATCCTCAGGGGTAACGAGTAAACAGATAAACGAAGCCACTCTGCCAGGCACTCGTCTCCAGAGCATCCCGGGCAGCGGTGCCATCGTTGCCATCTGCTCTGCTTTGCTGGTTATGGAAGGCAATGCTTCTTTTTAAGTCTTTTTTTTTTTTTTAAATGCCACTATCGCTTTGCGGACTGCAACTCCATGGTGACAAGCACCACCAGGAAACCTGTGACACTCATGGGGGTCAGAGCCGGCACAGCACGCGCGGCAGCAAGGGAAGAAAACAACAAACCAGAGCAGTAACCCAGGGTATGAAAAAGAGGATAGCCTTGAGGATGAGAAAACACATAGCAGAGAAGAGAAGGTCCTTAACTGAAGTTTCTTCTTTTTTTTAACCTAATGAAATCTTTTATTAATACAATCTGGAAGAGGCCAGCACCTCTTAAACATCTGCTTTGCACAAGTATCAAACTTCTCTTTCCTTTGCCTCCGCTGTAACATGCCTGGCCCATCAATGGCGTATTTGGGCACTTCAAGAATGTGATTTTCCAGGTTTTTTCCCCCAAAGTGCTGCCTCCTGCAGGTGAGAGCAGTGAAATAAGGGCTCGGTTATGTTCATCCATCATTAGGGTACCAGGCACTCTGGAGCCCTGCCTGTGAACACCGGTCCTCGGGATGCGGCAGCCTATTCCAGAAGCTGGGAAGGCATCAGCAGGGCACTCACCCCCCTACAGCCTTCCAGACCCCAAAGGGAATTTCCCTTTGGATCTAGGCAAAGGTGGCTACAGCAATAGGGATTTCTATGGAGGGAATCTGGGAGATGCCTTTCCAGAGTGCCTTTTACCACCACTTGCTCATTTGAGAGCAGAACCAGTCTCCTCCAGGTTCACACCATTCATAAAACCAGTTTAACCAACTCCTCCTGACTCAGTCTTGACCTGGCCTGTTATTTCCAGCTCTGGCTGCTCACTGTTCACTCTGCTCTCCTCGATTCAGATCCCCTCCATACCAGGCTGTCCCACAAACTTTGAGATGCATTGAGAGCCACAAGATGCTAAACTACAGACTCACTGGATATATAAATCAGATTTAAAGAACATCCGCGCGGCCTTTGCCAGCCCTGCACAAGAGGCTGACCCTTTACAGGAACACGGCGGTGGTGTAATCGAGCTCCTAATCCTGGCTCAGCCAGGCAGGGCAGCACAGCCGAGAACGGCGAGATGGTAACGAGCCCAGTGCTCAAACCAGAGCTGGCTTCACCCCAGTGGGATTTATAAAGTTATTTCAGTACCTGGAGACATTGACAGGCACCCAACAAGACAAAGACAAGTCGGTACCCAACTGCAGAGTGCATGGATGCTCTCAGTGCGCTGGAGTGGTCCAGCAGCACGAGATGGCAGCTGAAGTGCCCGATGCCCTTGCAGGAACTACCTCCCAGTTAGGAGCATGACTCACGTTGATTTTTCTCTAAGGTTTGTGGTCCTTCACGGGGTCCAAGAAGCACCACTCACATCACAAACTGTCGGACAGCCGGGACCCCCCGAGCAGGCGCAGGGTAACCTAAAGGGAAACCTCCCTCCGCACAAAAGGGCGGAGAGATGAGGCAGCCAGGGCACAGAGACTCCCCCTCCCAGCCAAAGACCACCTTGCACCCCACCACCAGCCCCCTCCTCCCATGCCAGCCCAGCTCTGCTCCATCCGTGTGGCAGCATTCGGACCCAAGCTCCATTCGGTTAATTAATTTGAAGTGTTGCCTCTCGATTCCTGATAGCCAATACTGTAAGCCTTGGCTTCCCTCAGTGTAATTAAATTAAAAGCTCAGACATGATTTCTTCTTTAGAAAACTGTCTTTCTGGTGGCTCCGTTATCCCCTTCCAATCTCTTGAGAGTATTTGTTCTTTTATTCTGCATATTCCAGTCCTCCCATCACAGGGAGCATCGCTGCCAGTAACTGCCCAATGCCAGCGATCCCGGGGACCTGCACACAGAAGCTCAGGTGCCCTTTGCAAGGTCCTGACTTGAGGTGACCCAGCAGCAGAGCTGGCTGTCACATCACAGCTCCCACAGGTCCATCCCAGCGGGAAAGCTCTGCCATATCTGGTCCCCAGCTCCTTCTACACCAGGGGACAGGGCAGCAAGCCCCAAAGCTGCCGTGGGGGGTACTGCTCTCCACCCCCCCGCCACATCCCCCTCCAGGGTAACCGTGCACCAAGGGAGGGGAGAGAGAGGATGTTTCTACACTTTTACCCACTGCTTTTGGCAGTCAGTGATGACCCTTTTATAATCCTCATCTCCCAAAACAGCCCAACGCCCGCGGCCTCACCTCACGCACCCACGCTGTCCCATGGGAACAGCAATGTCCTCCTCTCCTAGGTGGGACGAGCAGGAGCTGCTCCTCAGCTCCCCTCCACTTCACTTCATCAGACCAGGCAAGGCAAGACAAGACAAGACAAGCCCTCCCTTTGCAAGCAGCTGGCAGAGGGATAAACATCCTTAAAGCCCTGCTTCACAGCTGAGTGCCATTTAACACCAGCACCCACACCTGCACTGCTGATGAACCACGGACCAGCTGCCCTCCCCCTCCCCATCACTGGGAAAGGAACCATTCCCCATGCCCCTGCCTGTGCCGGGTCCTGCACCCACGCCGCCCATCAGACACGCTCCTACTCCGCAGGGCTTGCACAGAAACTCTTCCCCCAAAAGAGGTGTTTTCTCCCCGCTCTGCTCGCCACCTTGCTCTGCTCAGCCTCCCGGAGCCAGGGCTCCGAGTAACTATGGTTACTTCTAATTGTACAAGCAATATTATTCTGGCTTCAAAGGTAATGGAGAGGATCCTTCAGGAAGTCTCTCTACTTTGTGATTTCCTCACACGGGATCTAAAACTAACCCAAAGAGTCACCTTGACCGTGTGCTGACACAAGGATGCCAGCAAAGTAAATCAGGAGATGTCATCAAATGAGTATGGAGGTTTTTTCATCTTTTTTCCTTTCCAAAGAAAACCCACGTGTTGCTAAATGCCTATCTGGGGTTTCGCGTAGAGCCAGCTCTGCGTCTGAAGACTAACTTCTCAACCTGCTCTCCAGGCTGGGCAGGGACAGCCTTTGGCTCTTCAATCCTCCCTGTTAACACAACATTTTGTACAGTTTGCTAAATAGACTGCTTGCAGCGTGGACTCCCGACCATGCATAGAGAGCGGCGTCTGAGGGCCTTCCTGCGCTCCAGGGGAGTCTGGCCTCCCGAAGGGAGGGCAACGCGCAGCCCTGAGACCCTCGGGCAGATGAGGGCCCAGCAAACACCAGTACAAGCTGGGGCTCGGAGTTTTGCAAACCGGCAACAATGTCAGACCTGGCAAGGAGCTCAGCTCAGCTCTCCGACCTGGGCACAGGAGAGAATGGATATGGGGAGACAAAAAATTAGCATGAAATTAGTAAAATACCTAAGGAAGGGGACTTGGGGGAAACATTGAGCCTTCTTTAACAGAGGGAAGGAGCCACATGGATTTGGGCAGCCTCCACGTCAGCAGACAGATCTCTCGTGGCTGACAGAGCAGGACAGGAGAGGCATCATTAAAATTCACCCCAGTTCCACAGAAGCATAACAGAGCCCCGGCACCCGTGCACGCATCTCATCAAGCTGCCAAGGAGCGTGAAGACGTTTGATAATCCCTCTGCCAGCGCTAAGCACAGCCCAGGCACAGCGCGTGGGCAGACAAACGGGCATGTCCGGCGGCAAAGGGCTCCCCTGCCAAAGCCAGAAGCGGTTACGAGCAATGTCCATCAGGAGGAAACTTTAAACAGCGACAGAAAACGACCCAAGCGGTAACTCAGGAGCCCAGACTTTACTGGTGTTCCCTCGCAGAGCAATCACCGAGCCCCGCGCAGCGCGGTGACGAGGAAAGCCAGCCTTGTTATTCAACCCTCCTAATTAAAAAGGAAGGGAAAACAGTACGGAATAAAAGAACACTATATCAACAAAGAGAGAAGGGGAAGTTGGCCAGGAGGTTGCGGCACAGCACAAAGGAGCCAACGGCAGCACGAGCCCGCTGCTAGCCCGAAGCGGTGCAGGGTTCAGTGGACCTTGCAGAAAAGGCTGGGATGCCAAATAAATATTTACGTTCTGTTACGTGAGGAAAAGCCGGACGAGATGCCCCTGTCACGCAGCATTGGAATATTTTCTGCTGCATCAATAATTAGGAAAACATTACAAGCAGCTCTTGGATATTTCACTTAGCTGGGAGGACCAGCGTTCCCCGCGCCCCAGAGCCCCACAGGAGACAGCCCTGTTCACATCACCACGCACCGCCACATTTCTCTTGCCAGAAACTTTTCCCAGCCAGATCTGAGGACGCAAGACATTTACCTGGGATCTCTGCGGCTGGAAGCATCCCCTTCCACAGGCAGGAGGAAAACCGGCTTGTAGTCCCACGGCCACAGAAGCCACCACCCGAGCCCTGTGCCAGGCGAAGCAGAAGCAGGGCAGAGCCCACGGCAGCTCCCAGGGAGCACCTCACCTGCCCGTGGGCCTTAATAAACTTGCGTGTCTCCATGCAGGAGTCAATCAAGACTCCTAATAACAGCCCACATCTGTGCGAGCCGCAGGCAGCCGGCAGCAGCGGCTCAGCCCTGCGGGCCGCCAGCTCCAGCGCTCCGCGGCAGGCACGAGCGGCTGGCAAGAAACGCAAGAATCAGGAGCTGGCAGCAGAGTCGGTGCCCGCTAACGTGCAAAACGCATCGCGGTGAACGATCCTGTCATTATTTCAATGAGAGGAAAGCATGCTTAGTGGAGGTAACTGCTGATATCATCTCACCCAGGCCCAAGGGATTCACTGAACACAGGATCAGCGCCGGATGAAATCAATGTAATCCTCGTTAACAGGATCAGCAACTGATCCCAGGCGACAGCCGCACCTACTGCCAGCCCACAGGGTGTTTCTACAGGGGTCTTGTGCTGAAACCAGCACAGAAGTCCAATACGTTTAGTGGCTTTTTGCCCCAAAAGTAACATAAGGAAAACCTACAGTCACAAGGAAAAATATTGTAAACGGTGACTGCCCGATGGTAATTGTCGTCGCGTAAAGAGAGGCAGGGGGAACAGAGCCCCAAGGGCGGCGAGGTGCCCGGTGCAGTGAGAATAACACACAGCCCCCCTAAGCCTGCCGTTGACTTTGGTATAAGCAAAGCCCCAAACCTGCGGCAGCGTCTCCCGCAGCGGCCGTGGCCCTGCGGAGGCACCGCTAGGGGCTCCCGGCGGCCCGGCCCCCTCCCCCCGCAAACCCCCCCAAGCCCTGCCGTTGACTTTGTTATAAGCAAAGCCCCAACCCGGCGGCAGCGTCTCCCGCAGCGGCCGTGGCCCTGCGGAGGCACCGCCGGGCGCTCCTGCCGGCCGGCACCGCTCCCCGAGCAAACGCCCCGACCCTGAACTCCTGCCCACGATTCCCCTTGGAGTGCCTGATTCCCCCGGGAAAGGGAGACGCGCACCCACCCAGGCGCAGGCAGCCAGACCAACATCTGCAGCAGGAGCAGAGATCTCTTTATGCTGCATAAATATCTTTCTTTCCCTGTGAACAGGCCATTTAGCGACACTTAAAACTACTAAATCTGGGGTTTATGTGGAAATGATTTTAGAGTGCACTGGAAACCCCAGGTTCCTTTTTCAATCTAACAATGTCTTTAGAAAGCAATTCTTTAAGCCTGCATTTCCAAGACCCTTTTAATCTCTGCAAATTATTGGTAAGAGCTGAATCAAGGCAAACTGCCATCAACTGTGATCACAACACTGTAACTCGGCAATGAGCGACTATCGCTGATTATTTAGAAGAAACTATTGCTTTTAGGCAAGCTGCCACAGAAATAAATTAGCATTTATACTGGATTATTGAAAAACGCCAAAAAAAAATCAGCCTCTATCTATATGTCAATTGTGTCTCGCCAAGGTCAATATCTTTACTGTAATAGGCACGGTCTCAAATAGCAAGAACAACTTATGTGTGGAAATGAGCACCGTATGGCCAAAATATGTCATTATTATCAGAAAGACAAACTGATCTCTGAAATAACATCTGCACTCCCACAGCTTTAAAGAAAGGTGACCTCCTGTGGAAGGTGTGTAATCAAGAAGCTAGGAAAATAATTCAAAAAAATTAAAACCTAATAGTCTGACTTCTCGGTAGGTTCTTTCCTATCGCTCTCAGCCTTATTGCATTCGTTATGTCTGTCTTGAAAATCTGCTTTTGAAACGACTTTGCTTGAAACCTGCAGCTTGGTCTTCCCAGGCTATGGGAGGACTCGGTCCGTTTTTGCACGGCACTGCCAGGTAATGGCTGATTAAGTTAGAATATACATTCTGTAAATGAGGATGCTTTTATGGGATTTTTTTGGTGAAACGTTTGCCGTTATCAATAGGATTTTCTTTACCACCGGTCCAGCACACTCCAACGAAATGAAACATCTTCCCCCCGTCAGAAAATCCGGTGACTGAAGTTGAAGTGGAACAAAGGAGTGCCTTGCGTTCCCGCTAGAGTGGAACAGCAAAGGGAAAAATCACCTCCATACTTCGTTTCAACGGGGACCAAATATTTCGTACTGACCCTGCCAAAAGGCTCCGTTTCGGGGAAGTTGCGATGCCCGGTTTAAGAAATGATGAAAGCCTTCGTCACAATGTTATGCTGCTTATAAAAAAAAATCACGCTACTGATGTGGGAGCAATTCTGGGGTGTTCTCAGTGCAAAACCAACACGAGGAATGTTGCTGGCTGCATTTCTGGCAGCTCCCCCGGGCTGGGCATCCCCTTCGGTTTGTCAGGGGAGGCAGGGAGGAGCGGGCTCTGCCCGCGGGGGCCGGGGCGAGGGGTGGCCGGGGCAGGGGAGGCTGCTGGAACACCCCGCCTCGCTCCCCGTCCCGGCCCCTCTGCCAGGAGTCCGGCCGTGGCTGCTGCGGTCAGGGTCGTTTTCCTACCGGCTCCCCCTTCCTGGGCGGCTCTCCTGCTGGGCAGACCCCCGGTATTTCACCCCTCGTGCACAGGGTCCCCAGTTAAACGTCTCGGTGCGTAACTGGAGGCCACAGGTGCTTGAGCCGTGCCCTTGAGCCTGCTGGAGTCCTTACAGATTCCGTCGTTTGTGCTGGACCCCAGGTATAGATATATCTAGATAGCTATACCTAGATATATATATCTCTATATCTAGATATATCTAGATATATTTATAAGATCCGGGTCACACCTGCCAGGCTCATGGGCACGGGGCCAGTCCTGCTCATCCCTTCACCTCCTTTCTGTCTGGTTTGTTACCAAAGCAGCACTGAGGCCTCAGTGAGATCCCAAACCTCCTCCCTGCCCCAGCGGCTTGCTGGGAATCGTCCCCAGGGCACCAGGAGCAGCCTGTCCCCTCCCCGGAGAGAAGCAGGACCCCCCCCACCTCTCCTGGCCGATCCCCATCCACCCACCCCCCGGGGGTCTCACCTCTGCGGAGCCGGGGCTGCTGCGGGGTCCGCAGTTTGCCAAGCTGCAGGGTGCCCCCAGGGCCCGGGTCCCCCTCCCTCCTCCCGCCTGGCTGGGGGGGCCCGGGGGAGGCTCAGGCCCTGATCCCCATCCACTGGGGTGATGCCACCCGCCCCGACAACAAAAGGGCACCTCCAAGTCCGGGGAGGACGGTGTTTCCAGCATCTCCAAAAGGCACAGAAAACTCAGCATAACTGTCAGCCTTTTGAGGAAGACTCTAGGGAAGTAAGAGCTGAGCTCAGCCGATGCTCAGCAGCGCGGCTGCCCCCTCGGCACCTGGCAATGCCCGGGCTGGGGGGCGCGGGCAACGGGGGCTCTGCTGCGGGCCCCGTCCCTCGGGGCAAGCGGGCAGAGCTGTGTCCCCCCGGGGGTGCCTGACGGGCAGGCGGCTGTCACTGGGGATCCCCTCCGGTCGCAGGGACAGGGCGCTGCGGGAGGGTGGCACGGGCCCTCTGCGCTGCTCCCAACGGCAGGCAGCGACAGAAGGGGTTTTTTAAACGTTTTTTTGAAGCAGGGAGCGGGAAAACAGGCGCGGGAAAAAATAATGCAGGCACCAGGAATTCTGCCTGAACTGTGGGAAAATTGCAGCCGAATAAAGTGCTGCAGGTACAACTGGCGGGAGCGGGAGCTTTGGCCGGAGCAGCCAGAGCAGCAGAGCACCCAGAGCTCTGAACGTGTTCAGCTGCTGCCCTGCACCGGGGGTCTTCAGATTTGGGGGGGGCACAGACTGTAAGAAGCAGAACCGTCTCTGATTTTTTATCTTTTCTTTGACAGTCACGCCGTGCTGGAGGTGCTTTGCCCAGCGGTTCTCACCACAGGGGGCAGGGAAAGGCTGGGGTTTGGAGAGGGGATGGGAAGGGAAGGGTCCGGTCCCGAGGTGCGGGACCAAAAATGGGGCTCAGCCCCTCCCGGAGCGGGGCTTGGGGAGGGCGGCCAGTGCCCCCCCAGGCCGGCCCAGGGGCAAACCTTTTTTACCAGCGAGGCGAACCCGCGGGCTCCTGCGGCGCTTGTGCGGGGTCAGCCGGCCGCTGCGGGGCCGCCCGCACATACA